AAGATATGCCATCTATTGTTTCGGTAATGATACAAGTGGGTGGAACAGGGCTGCTCGCATGATCCCATGACAGGGAAAAATTCCTTGTCACTACAGTGTGTTTGAAACGCTGTGTCTGACAACTCTGTCTCTTCCCATCCCTTCGTGCTTCAGCCTCTCCCTCTCAGTGCTGGAGCACAGAAGTAAGCCACCTCCTCTCCTTGGTCTCCCCTGCCCAGCTCCTGGCCGGGTCTGGCTGGAGTCTGCACATGCTGCAAATACCAGGTATTTTAATTTATAGTCATTACTAGTGCACCAATGCGAAGATTCAGCCCTGACAACCCTTTTGCTAGCCATATCCCACTGCCTGTGCTGCAGCCAGGAGAACCTGTTTGAGCTGCAAGCACAGCTTGGGAAGCCTGGAGACCCCCAGTACAGAGCCAGATCCTGGGGCACAAGGATACTCAGCCATTTGGGGAAGCTTTGTGTTGAGCAGGATGCACTATCGCTGTGAGCAGCCCACCTCCCAGCACTGGGCTGGAACAGTCCTGCAAGGCTTAGCGGAGACTATTGAGATATATGACATGGGAAAACTGATTGTGTTGTAAGGAAAGGAAGTAAAAATCTGTAGAATAGCGAGCAAATTCTTTCAGCTTTATTTTCTCAAGCTGTATATTCTACCGCCCTACGAACTGCAGGCAATGGAAAGTGAACGGTGACTACTAGATAGTGATTTTTAAAAAAATACTAATGCATATATTTTCGCATAGTCTAGGTACTTCAATTGACATCTTATTCTAAAAACCAGCACCCTTTTTCCTTCACATTGTAGGGGATCCGAACAAGCAGTGCTCTTATCAGATATGTTAATCCTAAAATAAGGAACATGTAGAGCCATAGAATTGCATAGGGTTATTGGAATGGAAAATGGCACTTACTTGTAGAAAATGCATATCTTTGTTGTTGCTGGTCTATAATAGAAAACTGATTCTTGAACCTCTATTGTTGTGGCAAAGTCTAAAAGGAAGCTTTGTTTCTTCAGTAATGAGAGGCAAAGCTGCGTAGCATTCAAGCTGCTGCGAATTCTGCATACCCTGTGCAGAGGCTGCTGTTAGAAGGCACTTCACCTATACTGAACATTGCCACAGGGCAACAGCATAATGGAAATTTCAAGTCCTTTGCCCCTTGCAGGGCCTTTCTGGCTGCCCAGCACAGGGTTCAGTAAGCAAAGACACAAGCCAATAACAAAAGAGAAAATGCTTTTATTTATTTTTCCCTGATCTCTAGGGTTTTGGTGACACTCAGAACATACTTCCCAAACGAATAATTTAAGTCTTTATAGCTCATTCAATTTCAGTTTACACACTGCATTTTATCCAGCTCAGGCTATGTCAGTATAATGCAAGAGATAGCCATTCAAGATACTGAGTTACTATTCTCCATATATGTAACATTGGCCACTATTCAAGCCTGGAGACATAACAGAGGCTTTTGTGCAGATATTTTTGGCTGATATTGGGAACTGCTATGATAAAGAGAGATGGAAGCCATCTGCAGAAAACACACACGCACACACAAAAGCAGTCTTACTGGTCAAGGCATCCAGGATCAATGCTACACTTGAGCTCTGGATATTATCAGAGCTATGCAGGAGCCAGAATTTCTGTCTCGGAGACAGCCCAGGATTTTGAATCTTTTAATATTAGATCAGAACGGAATGTTTATTGTAAGAATTTGCCCTACAAACGTTTTTAATTAAAATGCTAATTTCTGTTTTGACATTTGTCATTTATAATTTTTCCTTTAAAAGCAAAATTTGCAATGAAAGCCACTCCAAAATGGAGCCAAGGGATTCTAGTCTGATCAGCTTCAGTCTTTTGAAGACATTGTGTTACAGAAAGTGAGGAGGTTACTTCATTGCTTTCCATTTAGTTCAAAATGAAATATCATCATAATCAATATTTCCTGCAAAATATCCCAGTTACAACAAGCTGATACTATCTAACACAAAGCTGCTTCCACCAAACATTTTTGACCGTATCTACTGAGAAGTACTTATCTATACAGGGAGAATTCAGACACCTGATACCCCTTCTGTGCAATCATTCTTGGTTCTGCCTCCTTCAACCTCATTTCTTATTAAAGCCACAAGAGGAAGAAAGCTGGAAAAGCTGTAGGGGAGGGAAAACAGACTTAGCGGGAGGGGAAACAGCTGATACAATAGAAGGAAATGCCTTATTCAGAGACACTACTAAATCTAGCAAGCAATCCCTTGCACTCATGTTCCCAAGTCCAAAGGGTTGAGGTAGCAAGGGATGGGTTACATGAGAGGGATGGGATGAGCTGAGCTGAGCTGAGCTGAGTCTGTGGTCTCACGCATGCAGGTTGTGTTCAGGGGCTCTGCAGCCAGCCTGACTGAGCTCTGAACTTGGTTCCAATGAAATGTTTAGCAGGAGAGCCAACAGGATCATCTCTGCACTAGGTGCAGACTTCAACACTTCGCTCACCCCTGCACTCACTGTGCACTGCCAGAAAAAACAGTGGCACTGCACTGGTAACATCCAGCCAGGCTCCCCGAGATGTGGCAGGGAGACATCCCTGGAGAAAGGCATCGGCGCAGCTCTCAGCATCACAAGAGCTCAGCTCCTCCACAGTAATTCTGCGTGGGATTAGTCCCTGCTTCTCTCTGCCCAGCATCACCGGTGGCAACGCTGAAAGGGTCAGATGTCTAGAAGGTGATGCTTAAAATTAATTAAGATACAGGCTTAAGTCTTCACAAGAAGCATGGGAAAACTAGGCACTACCAAGTGCCCTACAAAAAAGGCAACATGCTGAAATGATCAACCTATATATTTAGAACTGGGAAATTATATTAATTTTACAGAATCACAGAATCACAGAATCGTAGTGGTTGGAAGGGACCTCAGAGATCATCGAGTCCAACCACAAAAAAAAACACCAAACAAAACAAAACAAAACAAAAAAACACCCACCACCTAAACACACAACAACAACAACCAAACCAAAAACCATCACCCACCCACACAACATCCCACCACAAACCAATAATCTTGGGCACTAGAGCATGCCCTGAAGAGCCACGTCTACACGTTTCTTAAATACCTCCAGGGATGGTGACTCCACCACCTCCCTGGGCAGTCCATTCCAATGCCTGACAACCCTTTCAGTAAAGAAATGTTTCCTAATATCCAACCTGAACTTCCCCTGGCGCAACTTGAAGCCATTACCCCTTGTCCTATCATCTGTAACTTGGAAGAAGAGACCGACCCCCACCTCTCTACAGCTTCCTTTCAGGTACTTGTACAGAGCGATGAGGTCTCCCCTCAGTCTCCTCTTCCCCAGACTAAACAACCCCAGTTCCCTCAGCCTCTCCTCATAAGACTTGTGCCCCAGACCCCTCACCAGCTTCGTTGCCATTCTCTGGACCCGCTCCAGCACCTCAATGTCCCTCTTGTGGTAGGGGGCCCAAAACTGGACACAGTACTCAAGGTGGGGTCTCACCAGTGCCAAGTACAGGGGGATGATCACTTCTCAGGTCCTACTCACCACGCTGTTCCTGATACAGGCCAGGATGCTGTTGGCCTTCTTGGCCACCTGAAATTTTAGAAACAATGATAAACAGAATTATTCATGTCCTGGTAAAGCAAAAGTCTTAGCACACGCACTCCAGGAGGACTTAAGCACAGCTTTCCTCCTGCTACTGTGGAGGACCCTGGACACTTGACTTCAATCCATACATCCTGCCCCAGTCTCCACCCCTGACCAGGCTGCCCTAAGGGGCTGGGGGACTTTGGGGGCTGCAGGACAAAGCCCAGCAGTCCTTGCCCTGCCCATGGTGCAAGCCCTGCCTGGCCTCTCTGCCCAGCCACGCGTGCCTGGATGGAAGCTTAAGGCATGGCTAGATGGCAGTGAGTTTGTGGCTGCTTCCATGCTTCTTCCTTCTTTCTCCTCCCTTCTTTTCCACCCCCTGCATGAGGACTACATAGATGGCACCACAGTGTGGTCCACATAGGCAGTAACAGATATTTTTACATCAGCTGCAGTGAGATGGGTGCCGATTCAGTGATGCCTCTCACTGTACCAGTGCTTTTGTTTATCACAGCACAGCAGCGACAATTTCCTTCAGACCCTTATGGTGTAATTGCTGGTTATGTACTGCATCTCTACAGGTTCATTCTGGTCTGTAACCATCTCTGAGATATTCGGGGAAGACTTAAAATTTTTCCATCTAAAGACACCATAGCCAGGGTTCCAGCTTTGGCATTGCACTGCACAAGGGCAATCTGACCTTAACTCCCAATTCATGCCACAAATATGTCATCCTTTCAAGCTAGGACCTCTTCAGTGTTTATTCAGGATATGTTTAGAGCTTTCTGGTAGGACAAGAACAGTAAAGTATCAGCATAACGGAGAATCCAGTGCAATATTGTCTTTGGCTTTACTTTTAAGTGGAATATTTCTGCTTCCTCTTAAAACAAAACATGAAGACTGTTTCCTCCCTGCCTGGGGTTTGTTTTGCAGTGTTTCAGCACAGACTGCGACTTGTATGGTGTATTATTAATACAAGTTATTAATAGGAGTTAATAATGGAAGCACAGACACTTTAGGGAATTAGATCATTACAATTAAGAATAAGAGGAGCCTACAAGAGAAAATGAAACCTTACATTGCTTAAACAGCTTTCATAATAACCAGTGGGTTTCCACTCATTAACATTATTCTAAGTATCTGCATGAGAGAGATGGTCAAAGAAAATGTATTCAGAGATAAACTGAAGAATAAAACAGGGTAATGAATGGAGAATGAGATCACACTTCTTTCTCAATATGCAAATAGATAAACATCAGAACAATAGATTTTCTTCTGTTTTGTTCACAAAGGTGCAGTTTGCTTATCTGAGATCATTGTGAGGCTGGTAAGAACACAAGGCTTAATACAAAATCTCCCAGAGGCAGACAAACAGTTTGGCCAGGATGCCTTTATTGTAGTAGAATTCTTTATGTATGTATATACACATAGACACACATACATATGTATGTGTATATGTAAAAAGACCCACAGTTATTTCTCCCTTTACATATTGTTCCCTTTATACATAAATATAATTACACAATTAGAAGATTGGAAACATGAAAATAATTATTCATTTAATTTAACTTAATAAGATGTACACAGCTATATAAGAATGTCATCTATGCAACATTTGTAACTACTTTTACAGACCTTCACAGTCTTCAAGTAGCTCTCATGTCATCTTACCTGTGGTGATGATAAGCAAGTCCATATTTCTTTGTAAATCCAGCAGTACCTAATACACTCAGTAGCAAAACTCTAAACAGAAAGAGCACCCATCTGCTACAGGTGTTAACATACACATTTTTTCCCCCATATTGTATTTCCCTCTCTCACCATTCCTATACAGAACAAGACTACTAGTGGAGAAAGAAATTATATCTTTTCAAACATGTCAAAAATCTACTGTGGTTTGACAAAGAGGCCTGAAACCATTTTTGTGCAGGACAGCTTTGGTGGAAAATTGTGTTCCCAGGATTTTCTTTTGGCTGATAATGCTTCAAAACCTGAACCGTGAGATGGCTGGTTGGAGCTCTCCCTTTCCTTTCCATCTGTTCTCCATCCCTATGGTCCTTTTCTTTCATCCAGAAGATATCATTCCTTTCAAGATTTGTCCACAGCTTGCTGCAGGCCAGGGGCTCCTTCCTCTTGTTTTGGTACCTCAGCTTAGGTATTAAGCCTGTATGGAAAAAAATTACAGTAGAATCACATAAAAAAGCAATGTGTGAGGGTTGCTGGTGGTGACGGATATTCCCATGGTAGATCCTGGGTGACACTGTCAAACAAGCAGAAACTTCTCCCCTGAGTGAAGACCATGGAATTGACATAAGCTCAGCACTTCTCTCAACTGAAGTCTAAGGTGCTTCATTTTTGTTAAAACCTGATGGAAGATGGTTGCCCAATTTATCACATGCCTTCAAAAATCAAGTCTTGGCTGTGTCTACCCATCAAACTCTCAGAGGCAGAGCATCCAGGCTGAAGCAGGGCCTGCTCTGCGTGACATGCAATTCAGGTTAGTGTCATTTCACTGCCTCTGAGGGTAAGGGGAAAATGCATATCAGGAATGGCCAGGCCGATCAAACATCCTGTCTCCTATTTACAGCTAGTTACAGCTAGTTACAGCTTTACCCATCCAGTGAAGACAAGGTGGCATGGGCTTGGCTATGAGCTGAACAAAGTTATCAGGACCCATTTGGTGCTGAGGTCTGGACTACCACATCTCCACTGCCATTTGCTCTTGTGCTAGTTAGGCTGAAGTTTGATCAAGGGCACATGCCCATTCTGGGGTCATCCCTTCAGTTACAACGTATAAAATTCACACAGTTATGATCCCAAGTTTACTATTCGGTTTAATGAGATGGGTCAAATGGTCCCTTCATTATACCCCTTCCACGCAAAGTTTACTTTAAAAATTTTTCATAGTGCACATTAAATTCATTCAGAGCCTGCAAAAGCATAACATACAACCATACAGAAAACCTGTGGACTCCTCTTAAAAATATGCTCAAATCCATGCTGCCATCCACCTACTGAAGGAGACTATTACCACCTTTCTGCCTCCCTCATTACATTAGTTTCCCTAACAAGAACGAAGGAATTGGAGAAAGTTACCATACAAAGCTTTTCAAAACTGCAGAAAATAAGTCATTAGGGCTTTCAGATTTTCATTATATTTTAGCAACATTAACTAAAGCTGTTTCTGAGACACGTATTTTATAATCCAATTTCTTTAATGAAGAGTTCAAAACCACAGATTGTCCTGGTGTCAGGGACTGCAATGGAAAGGGATGACTCTGTGTCTCTCTGACAAAAGCTAATTCATAGGAGTCATCTGTGTGAAAAATAAACTGCAACAGTATTCATGAAACATATTGTCCATGAACAAACTCATAGCAAATGTAGCCTGAATAAGTTTTTGCCACTGCTGCTTCTTTAGAAAGATATGTCATTCCCTGGGAGGTACGCATGGTAAGTGGTGCTGAGAGCTGCAAAGCAAATGCACAGTGACTGGGTGCCAACAGTTCTACCAAAGAAAATTCCCTAGATGAAAGAGAAGCTGTCATCCAGAAATCCACAGCCAGTACAGATAAAAAGATTGTTTTAACAAGGGAATCCGTGTCAGTAGAAAACAATGATAAAAAATGAGCAAAGCTACAAATATAAAAGTGGAAAATGTGTATTACATCATTCTGTGTTACTGGAGCAATGATATACACAGTCACAGGGGGGGGGAAATGGCCAGAACGACCAAGAGGGGAGGACTCTGTTCAACTTTAAAATGTCAGTAGTGAAAAAGAGGCATAAAAACCTGAGCCTGAAGGGACCTACATAAATGAGTGTCTCTGATATTTCATCCATATGCTTTTTTTTCTTTTTTCTGTAGACATCTCTATCCTTTGAGCTAATTAAAGACTTCGTTTACATGTACTTTGTCTCCCTCTTTCTCTTTGCTACTTCACTCTGTTCTGTTCTTTTTTTCCCTCTGTGTCATCACTTTCCGGATACCTTTTTAATTAATTTTTCCTTAAGGTCATTTTTTCCTATCCAGTGAAAAGTGATTGCCCTTTGTTCTTCTTCTTCTTTTTTTTTTGTATCTTAACTTTTGCCTTTCTTTCTTAATTTCATTTGTTTTTCAGCACTTCTCTCTCTTTTTAGAGAGCTCTTTTCTTGCTTTCAGGCTTTCCATCTTGTGGCTTCCTGTGCTTGTTCCCTCTCTGCCCCACTCCATCTTTTCTCTTACTCTATTTCCTCTATCACAAAATTCTCACATAATAGCCTTCCATAGCCACAAAAATGCTGATTCCAGCCTCTCATCAGAAACACTTTCCTCTCTTGACAGTCTTTTAGACACTCTTCTCTAAACCTCTCCTACATGCATTACTGTCTTGTCCCAGAATCTACTCACAACTGCAAACTTCCTTTCCACCAAATTTACTCATGCATGTATGTGACCTGTCCATACTCAAACTCTTATCATTTTCCCCTCTGTCTACAAAGAGAAATAGGGATGAGCTATCCTGTCTTCTGCTATTGCAATTCCAGACCCAGATTAAATCCTCAGAATTGGAGAGTTCTGCTCTGACCATCTGAATCTCTGCTGCCTGGGCTACAATCTCCAGATCTGTTAGTGACATGAGGCACATGGACCTCTGTCCTGCTCCTCCCCAGAGATACATACGATGGTGCAGGAACATGCAGATAGACAGGTTGTACCTATGGTGCTATGTATGAGTCTTATCATCAAAGCCTTTTGAAGACCTCATAATCTTGGATGAATATTTCTTGGCCCAACAACTCCACAAAACTTCAGGGACATCAGAAGTGGGAAAGTAATGAGAAAACTAAACAATGTGTCTTGGGCCATGCCAAGAGCCAATAAGAGAGACAGGACCTCAGCTTACCTCTGCTGCTTTACCCAGCTGTCCTTCCTCAGCCTCCCACCCTTCCTCACTTCTCTCCATACAGTCCTGATCTTTGGACGCATGTAAACAGTCTTCTGGTTCTTTTCAGGAAGATATGTAGCTCTACACTCCTCAAACACACATTGATTTCTTTGCTTATTCTATGCACCCCTCTCTTATCTAAACTCTTCCCTACCTCTTGCCCTTTTCTGTATTCATGTTCCTCCATATTTTTGAGTGCTTTCCCAAACTCACTCCCAATTCCTAGATCCCTTTTCTTACTTATAACTCTCTTATACTACTGCTAGCATCCAGTAACAGCTCAGTCTAGTAAAGGGAACTCAGTTTTGGATCAAAAAGAAAAGCATAGCTTTTCCTGGCCCTGGGAGAACTGAGACCTCAGTAAAGTTGGACAGCTTGCTGGCAACAGCCAACAATAATAAGGAAAAATGACCCAAACTGGATTCAAAGAAGTCGGATAAGCTTCTCAATGTTTTTATTTCCTACTCATTTAGGTAGAGCTGAAGGCAGCAGTATCACCAGGTTCAGGAAAAACACAAAGACAGGAAGCATCACTATGTCAATATTAGTAAATGCTACGCAGGCAGGGACCATGTGCTGAGGTCAGGTCAGAGGCACCTCTATATATGTTCTTTTAGCATGGCTTTCTAGGCCATTTAAATATGCCTTCATATGCAGCATAATGTGATGCAGTCTATTTTCAGCCAGCTGTTTTTTAATGTCCAAGCTGCCTGTTGAATAGTCAGTGTGAAACATTTTTGCATTATTCCCATGACACACTTCTGCTCAATCCTTTTACCCAGATATTGGTAAGCGCTCGGCAGCTGAAAATGTCCAAGTACCAAAGAAATGGAAATCCAAGGGAGTAATTAAGAAAATCTATGACAGTTTCTAACGTGTATTTTGATTGATTTGATGCAAGCAGGTCATTATGAGTGTTTTTTAATCAATTCACAGCTCAGCAATACTTGTGGAGTTGGCTCAATGACAGAGCATTGGATAGCCACGTGAGGTGGCGCTGCCTGATGGCACCACATGGTCATGCTGTGGTCTCATACTGGGTATACTCATCAGGTGGTGGTTGCTCCCCATCAGCTGGCTGCAGAAGCAGTTACATGCAATCAGAAAGACCTATGTCTATTTTAAATGGCAAACTAATCCTATTCCCAGTTTTGTAATGCTGCTGGTTTCGAGCTTCAGGTAGATGTTTAGATAATGCAGGTGTTTTAACTGTCTAGATAATATGAACATTTCTTTTCCTTGCTGCTTTTCTCCCCTTAGTGCTTTGATCTGTAGAGGATTAGTTTGTTCCATTTCAAAATCCAGCAGCTAAGTGATCACTGTTATTTCTAGCTAAAAAGACCCCAGTCTACCAACTGACTTAGCATGTTGTTTCACTTGTCTCACTTGTGCTCTACCTCTCTCTTTTTAATCTTTTTTTTCCCCTTTTTCAGTGAAATGTTTGCTTAATTAATTCATGGGCACAAGGCTAATTCCAGCTGCTCACTTCCTCTTTAGAAATCTTCTTCATCTGCAGCAATAGATCTGGAAAGATGAGGGGAAGCAAAAAGAGAACCCTGATGCAGTACATAAATCACAACATTAGCAAACCAGCCAGGGTTTGTTTGCTCTTTCTTGTTAGCATTCTTTCCCCACTAGTTCAATAGTGAATTTTAGCTGACTGTTCCTTTTGAGATGAGGCCCCCAAAGCCTTCTCTCCTGCCAATGTCACATTGCTTTCCTAGCTTTTTTACCTCTACTTATCTAAGCTGCTTTTAAAATGTTTCGAAGGGATCAGCAACTCCTGAAGTCAGACCTCTCACAGACACTGTCTTCACATTCATTCATACCTAAAATTCATTCTTAAGGAGAAGCAGAAATATTTGTTAGCTCGGGAAAAACACATATATGTATGAAAACACTCTAAGTGCTAAACGGAATCTGACCACAGGGGAATTAAAAGTTTAGAGGCACATTGCTGCCTACACTAGAGCTAACTCATACTTTCCTCGTTTCTTTTTGCTTTTACCACTTATGATTATTATTTGTTATTATTCTCTATTTACACTGTGGCAGCATCTGAAACCCAAATGAGGATAGGGGCAACTACTGTGCAAGACCCTTGCAGTCAAGCAACTAGAGCTACTAGGAAATATCCTGAGGGAATGTGCGGATCGTTTAAGCTTGACATGTTCTGAAGAAGAGATTTGATTTAGGAAAAAAAAACTTTTTTTTGCACAGTAAAAGTAGAGGGTTTCAGTTTTCCCAGAAAAAAAAATGTTTTTATTCTCAGTTTCAAAAAAAGTTCATCTTTTAAAATATATTACGTATTAAATCATATGCTATAAAAATGTAACACAAGAGAAAATAAAAAGGTCCAAATTCTTGCACAGGGTTTCAGCTTTAGCAAAAAGAACAGTGCCACGCCTAAGTTAATATTAAACTTTGTGCAAGTGCCCCTTTTCATCAGGGATTTTGAATTTTCAGCATTTTAATGCATTTTGGAATAGAATGACAAAAAAATCAGGTTTTTGGATATACAGATGTAAAGTTTTTATGGTTTAGGAAGTGGAAAATACTTTGTTTCTTGGGTGACATTTGTGGGTAGAAAAAGAATACTGCAGAGATATAAAGGAGCCAGTTACATACTGACTGATACGTTATCTTGTGTCATGATTGCTGAAATAATATTTTGCTCCAATGCATATGTTTGATTTGAAGAGTTCTCTGCTTAGTAGATTTCATAATTACTCAGATATAAAGATCCAGACTGAAAAAAATGACATTTCTAAGGTTCAGCCATACTCAGCCTGAGCTTGTCACCAGCCACGGGGAACACAGCCTCTAGTAAGATGCCATTATTCAGTAGATAAGGACAGCAACTCACAATTATTACATTTCCTTTCAATGTTTTAATTTCCAGGCTGTGTTTCAATGACATTGAAAGTAACAGTCAGGACAATGCAAACCTAAGAAACAGCTCCTTGCCATTGCTCCCTAATAGAAGGAAATGTATCACTCTCTATTGCTTTGACCTTTTGCAATGGGATGTAGTGAAGTGACATAAAGAGAGGGGCTATGAAGCGATCAAGTTTACACTTGAAAGAGTTTATCACAATGTTCAACTGACATCTGAAACCTCTTTCTAAACATGTTTGCTGATGTCATTGAAGGATATTCTCTTGACTTCAATAGGTTCTGATGAGGCTTTTCAAAATTATTGCACTGGCTACCCGAGTACCCGTTGTATATAACACTGAATAAATACAGAAAATGGATAAATGTGATAGATATGTGAAAAAGGGTGTGAGACCTGCAAAGAGTTTGAAATAAAGAAGCCAGAAGGTTAAAAAAAAAAAAGGCAAGAAAACAGAGACCAACCCTTTGATGTGCATTTTCTTAAATAAAGATTCCTGATTAATCCCACAAAATACTATCACATTTTAGTTGAATTAAAGCAATGCGATCAAAATACTTGTTAATCCTGTATTGTTCATTTTCTCTACTGTTAACACCACCTAGAGTCTAGGTCTGTTTCACAGCAGACAGAATTATTGATTGGTTCTGTTTTGCATTTAAGAATAACAAGAACACACATTTGGAGTTCTTTAGCAAAATATCCAACTATTAATGAGTATGAAAAAAGTAAGAAAAAGGAGAGAAATTGAAAAACTAGTCTAGACATCTTAGAAATAAAGACACTTCCCTGTCTTTAAACAGCTTTCAGCAGCTACAGTTGACAGATAACTCTTCTAGCTGCTTGGTCTTGCCATTTTGATGACAATTTGTAGTGAATCAACAAGCTCAAAAGTAAAAATTTTCACTTAACAAAATGTTTCATTTTACCCAAACCAGGATTTTTAAATTCCAACCTGAGAACTTTATAAAAGATTTCTATTCCTTCTACATAAAACAGAAAAATATTTCTAAATAAAAATGTAATGGAAATTAACACTTTCTGAATTTAAAAAAAAAGGAAATGTTGACTTTAAAATGTCACAAATAAACATTTAGGTTTTTCCAATATGCTTATTTTCATTATTGAAGTGAAAAAAAGATTTCCAAACATTTTTGATGACATAAAGTAAGCCTCCCCAACTTAAAAAAAAAAAAAGAAAAAAGAAAAATATTACATACCTCAGCAGAATAGTCAAGTCAGCTTGCATCAGCTATCAACTGAAAACACAGGACAGGCTTTTTGATTGACTTCCTTGAACTACAAGGCATGGTACTGATGGATGTCATCTATGTCTCCATATGCATGAATGTAGCATGTATGTAGAAGTCATCCAAAGTTACCTTCAATCTGGACTTCCAGTGGGATGCAAGGGAGAAAGCTGCCTTTGACTTCATTATTCACAGCCCCATTGCCTGTTAATTTCCTGTAGAAAGGTTCAGGTGCCATTAGTAGAGATCACTGCTACTCCTCTCTCTTTACAGTTGAGGTGCCTGGAGTGGCCAGACAAGTACGGGAGTGTGAGGCAAATAAGTGGAAAAATGATCAAGTGTGAAAGTGCATCAACATCCTTACAGAAAAGTCTTTAAAATTGCACAGAAGTCCTACAGGATCACTGGACTTCTACATGATAAATGAAGGTTCATACAGAGGGGTTTAAGCTTTTTTTTAAGAGGCAGAGTCCATTCTCTTGCAGGAAAGCTGCATAATGGTGTGGACACTAGAGTTCTGAGTTACACAGACACTGAAGTTATGGGACCCTGGAGGTGTTCAGCCTTCTAACATCAGACCCAACAGCCATGGTTTCTAAGACAGGGGAGCTGAGTAATATTCTGGACCTCACTGTCCATCTACACTAAATATAGAGAGAACCTACATGACCCAAATGACCAAAGGTAGCTGGGATAAATCTGGAGCTGAAGGCCATTACTTCTGTGGACTAATGCAAATAAAACCAGGCTATTATCATAATCTCATTAATTCCATAAGTTTATACTAGAAGTATTTAAGACAATGTAGAATAACAGAAAGACAGTACACAGACGGTCATTTATATAAGCTTCCCTATTGCTCTTCTTTGGACAATGCAGATGTACAGCTGAATACCTGTAGAGATGTGTCTACTATGCACCTAGTATTCAAATACTAGGAGATGAAGCATAGGGGCTAAAAAGGCTGTAAAAAGCATGTAACTTGGTACCATATAAAGGAATTTTTAACCTGGTTTGTTCCTGAGCCTCAGCAATTGCAAATAGGTTCCAGGAAGAGTTTAACATTATCTCCAAGTTGTATATGTAGTGTTCTAATAGGTTTTCAAACAATCCAAATAGATGGCAATTTTAAAATACTTCCTCTGTTCTGCTGTGTCTTAGGAAGACTGCAGGAGAGAACTGTCTCATAAAAGATGAGCTTTCACTCTGGGAAAACTTGAAATAAAAAAGTGGGAAACAATATGTATACAAACAGCAGATTATTTGCTGTCACTTTGTGGTTTTCCCTACTAAAGTCACAGTTTTTAGAATTAAATGAGATTGTTTTTCCATCCCATGCTTTGAGTGGATTTCTCACTGAAGTCACACTCCAGGGTTTACAACAACAGAGACCAATAACACACAATGGATGCCATGAGCCAAATCTCTCTCCCTGCAGAAAGAAACCTTGGGAGATAGAGAAGATATTAAAATAACAAGTGGAAGAAGAATGAAAGCTCTGAGAAGAATAAATGGTCAAGGGATAATTTCTTCTGACAATGCAGAAATTGCCACAGCCTTCACAATGCAACATACAGGCAAACAAACCTTTTCGGGGAAAAAAGTGCCTGTTTTCTTTCAAAACCTTCAGTGGAAAGCAGCATGCATTTGTGCACACTTAAGGGTGTGCCATAGGCTCCTACCAGCAGCACTAGGACAATATTGAGGATTTCTCTTTGAAGAGCAGATATATTTGAAGAATCCTATATCTACCTTGTCAAAAACTTCTATTGTGGATCGTTTCATGTGTGCCATACATAAAATAATAATCTCCCTTCTTCCATTGTGTCCTTGGAAAAGGTAACCCTGACCTCTCCAATTTTTCCCTGTGTGCCAGATCACGGTTGCAGAAAATTCAGACCTCCAGTGTGCTCTTTTCCCAGCTTTGCAGACCCCTCTCCGGTGCAGATGTCCTGCTCACCATTCCTCACCAGCCAGAACTGAGCTGCAGCTTTGTAGTGGCTTTTGCACATCTCAAAGCAGTGTAAGGTGATTAGGAAAGGAAAGATTAGCTTTCAAGCTGGGGAAAAGCAGACATCATGGAAGGTGAGGTGTTTGTCTGGCCTGGCCCAGGAATTTAAGGAGAACCCATGGATCAAATCAGCCACTGGGAAAGTGGGGAGGGTGTTAAGACCCAGACACAAGACTGTTCCTTGTGGAAAAAAGTAGTGTGTTTAGCTCAGATGAAGAGCCCTATCCTTTTTGTAGAATTCTCTTCCTTTTTTATTTTTCTTTTCTCATTTCCCATGTGCTGATGGTAGCTGAACTCCCCTAAGCCATTTGGAGATGGATAGCTTCTCACCTCAACCACTCTGCACTTGAGGAAATTTTGCTCAGGGAGATGCCTCGGCTCACCTCAGTGTAAGCTGAATCAACATCAGATATATAAGATTCACCACATCCTACATAGAGGTTGCCTTTGGAGGGCTGGTAGGTTGAGAGAAAAAAATTAAAGTGAAACATTTGGTATTCTCTAAAAAGTCACTAGATCACTGTTTCCACTTTAGTGCTTTATTAAGGGAAGGCTGCTCCTGTCCATCATCAGCAACAAGCAGCACACCATTTAGATACTAATGCTCAGAAATCTCAGGGAAGTAGATAAAATAGAGAGGGAAAATGCCAAGTGAAAGTGGTCAATTCATAACACCGACTTTCAAAATTTGTTGATTTAATTAATTGAATGTTCAATTACCCAAACGCTTTGCCTTCTGTTCTAATGATGTTTCAAATAATGGGTGAAAGAAAAAAGTATCCAGCTAAGGTTAGAGGCAAGCAGAGAAGACAAATACCTTTTGGAATAGAAAGTAGAAAAAAAGTCAGACATTTTTTAAAGAAATATTTCCCCAAGTAACATTCAATTTCACATATGATTATCCACCGAAGACACAGAATGGCAGTCCAAATCTACACACTGTTTTTCATCACTGGTTTAGATAAACATGGCACTGTCATTAAATTGTAATGGACTCTATCAGAAGGCTGTCTCTACATTAAATGTTAGCAAACAATTTCTGTATTTCTCTGCCCCAGTGTTAAGAGCAGATTGTTGACCCTGAACCCTAACACGAGACATTCCTTTTTAGCATTTTAAAATAACACCCTCTTTATTATTTTTTCCTCAATATTTAAGCAGGTTGAATAACTTTGCAAGGAGAATAATCCTCTAATTTCACTTTAATGAGGGTTTTGTACAGTCAAACCCTGCAGAGGTTTCAAAGCTGTGTCATGAAATACACAGACATTAAAACAAGGGCCTGGGCAATAAATACGGCAACGATGTGGCTGCCAAGGCCCTTCACTTTCCGTTAACTAAATCATGGACAAGTCACAGCAAGAGATTTAACGAAACATGATTCCAAAGTCAATGGGACCTATATACAACTAAGCCTAAAGAGTGAAACTACCCAGATCCTAAAGCACTCTTGCCAAAACCAAGAGGAGATTCAGCACTCACTACACAATAACTGGATGGAAGTGTTTCATCCCAGGGCAGTTCACTGAAGCCAGCAGCACTCTGTTCAATGAGAGCTGTACTGGGGCTTCTGTTCCCAGGACAAACCCTGTTTAACCATACACAGAGCTGTAAGCATGTGCAATGAGGTCGGTAGATTTCAACTTTACCTTAACACTAAGCACACAGCAATGAATGTACACAAAGTACCGAATAAGTACCTTTAAGCTCATACCCTGTCAGCTCATAAAATAACCAAATATACTTTGAATTTGGGGCCTGGTCATACATAACTTTCCGAAGCACAACCCAAACTAACAAAATGCCTCAGCCCACCCCCCAACCTACTTTCCCAGACCGTATAATGACATGCATTCCGGCATAGTTCTGCAAATCTGTTATGCAAGAGCCATGTTCCCAAAACCAGCCTCTGGTTATAGCGGTGCTGAAAATATGTTGTTGTCTTTTTTATCAACAAAAACAAGGGGGAAAAAGCCTTATTTGTAAAAATAAATGTCCAGGTTTTCATTTATACAGGAATGACTTTGTTGTGTGGTATGCCCTTCAATAAAATTATTGCTTAGGTCCACAAGTGTGTGCATGTTTTGAGGTCTTATATTCAGTCTTATCCTTTCTTTATTTTAAACGTTGTCAATATCGTTAACAACCAGGAATGTAAATTACACACATACATACTCATGTACAGTGCCTACCTAATTTTACAACTCCTACTGAATGCTTTAATTACACACAATGGGTTATAAATAATAAGCCAGAAATGCATCCAAATATTTTTTACAGCAACACCAGAAGCTATGAAACTCTTAGAATATGAAAGGTCCTCACTCAAAAATAGCTTTCAAAATTTACAAATGAAAAGTCCTTGAGACTTCAGACCCTTAGGTAGAATTATATTTTTTTCCAACTTTTAATCCACTTTACACTACATTACCAGAATTTTAAAAGGCCTATGTTTTAAGTCCCTTGCTCTTTTGCTGGTGTGCTCACATATTAAAAACTACAGTAGAAAGCCATTTCTTTTACCTAATTATGAAGAGAATGAAATTAATATACTTCCTCATAATAACTCAGCACTTCTCCAAATGCACATTATTTTCATTATTTGAATGTATATTACTTATTTCTATCCCTTTGACCTTATTTTTATAAATATGTTCTAAACTTCTGCAGGAATATGGAAAGAATATTTAATACAAAGCAAAGTAATTATAGTCTGAAGGTTCTGAAACATAACCGAAGTGTATCCCTGGGGCTATTTCCTGATAATTAGGTATGACATAAATAATCATGATTAATTATGTTTCTGGATAGTCATCTGCCTCCAATGAAATATTGTTATCCCTGATAATGCTTAACATAAAAAAACCCACAAGTAAGTATGTTTAAATAGAACATTTTCTTAAACCTCATGCGCAACTGAGCCACACAGGCTATAAATGGCTTTGATGTTGCTCTGATATATTGTGCCACTGGAATACCAATTCTACATTTCTGAGTGCATTAAATAATACTGTCTGGTAATAAATCAAAATCTAGGAGACACAATAACAGCAAATAATTTTATTTGATGAGGTTTTCTTAAATAGGTTTTGAACATGATCTTGATTTTTTGTTTTGGCCAGTTTACTAAACATGGAATAAATTGTTTATTTACTTATTACATACCTCTGGTTACAGATGCACCAAGAAAGAGTACAGGCAGAT